AAGATTTTTCAAGTAAAAGTCAAAAAACGTATTTATTTTCAATTTTTCATCATATTTTTTATTTTTTTTAAATTAAATTACATGAGATTATATAAATAATGGTATATAAAGAAAGCCCCTTATGTCCTGAAAAAAAACAATATATAATTTGTATGGGAACAGTAAATGAGAGAGCGGAAAATTACAGTTAAACACAAACACCACAAAAGTGTAAAAATATGCCTGGTCACAAATGTACAACATCGCAAAAACAGTCCAGTCCTTAAGGGGTTAAAACATACATTTATAAAAACATTAGCAGGTGTACAAAAGGCCCTGTCTATGACATCACCTGCTGATCCAGCTTATCACATTTCAGAGTATTTTGGCGGTTGTCATCTTCAAACGGTCGTATTTTACAAACTATAAATCCTACAGCGAAGAGCTTTATATTGTGAGAATCACAAGACCCAGGCCTACATTTTGATGCATAGGTCTCTGAAATATTAACAATGAAGGCACAGTCGCAGTTTAGAAATTGCCCTTCAAATTTGAACTGGCTAGAGTGGCGTTTCAATGAATGTCAATGGACGGCGTGAATTGCAAACAAATGGTCATATTGTGAAAACTATCAGGACTATGGCTTAGCCGTGGACATTTCTAGTGGCAGCAGGGATAGATGAACGTTTTGATATAAGATTTTTGTAGGTGGGCTTGAAAATGAGGTAGTGGTGGCAGTTTAGAAATCATGTCCTGATTTTTCAGATTTTGCCAGCTCCCACTCTAGTTTTGAACATTTTGCCGTGCATTCCTATGGGACCAATTTCGCCACAAGAATGACGATATTCCGTGAACCATTCGGCTAAACGTTCCACAAAGTAATAGCAATCCAATCAGGAATAATCCGCACGTTTCGGTATATTACTGTCTATGTAGTGTAAAAACTGTGGGAGGAGTTAGGGTGGTAAATTTGGCTATAATAAGAATAAGAATAATATATATGTGAGATAACATTAAGTGGTCTTGCTATGCAAGAACACATAATAATAACCACCAGAGCTTCTTGTGCTATTATTTCCCCCGAATACATAGTTCAACTATATATATCTCAAAGATGTGTAAATACCAGAGTATTGCAGTATGTAATGATCCCTTTTTTATTGGACTAATATAATATTTCAAATACAAGCTTTCAAGAGATTTCTTCTCTTCCTCAGGTCTGAAGCAATACTGATCAATCTGAGAAGAGTTTAACACTTAAAACAACTGATGTTAGAGAAGGGGAGGAAGGGAGGGGTGAGTGGGGTGTCATAAATAGCAGAAGTTGTGCCTGAAAGTGAAAGGTGCAGATTAGTTGAGAATAGCCAGAAAAAGTAAATGAATAGGGGCGAGTCAATAAGCTAGTTAAAAGAAAAACAAAAAACAAAAAAACAAAAAACAGTGCTATGTTTGGAGACGGGTCAATGTGGTCTATAGTGAAAAGAATAACATTCCTACAGTGAAGCATGGTGGTGGCTCACTGAGTTATTTTGGGGGGTGTGGGCTCTAAAGGCACAGGGAATCAGAAAATACTGGCAGACAATCTGCATTCTTCTGCATGAAAGCTGCGCATGGGACTCTCTGACTTTCCAGCATGACAATGACTCTAAGCACAAGGCCAATTTGACCCTCCAGTGGTTACAGCAGAAAACGGTAAAGGTTCTAGAGTGGCCATCACAGTCTCCTGACCTTAATATCATCGAGCCACTCTGGGGAGATCTCATATGTGCGGTTCATGCAAGACGACCTAAGACTTTGCATGACCTGCATTTTGCCAAGACGAATAGTCAGCCATAGAAAACTATTACAGGAGACTGCACTCCTGCATTGATGCTAAAGGGGCCAATACAGAGTATCAATAAATAAGACTTTTGAAAAGGAGTCATTTCTTTTTTTTTTCTTTGTTGCCATGTTTTGTTTTAGGATTGCACCATTCTGTTATGACCTACAGTTGAATATGAATCCCATAAGAAATAAGAGCAAGGTGTTTTGCCTGCTCACTCATGTTTTCTTTAAAAATGGTACATATATTACCAATACTCCAAGGGTATGCAAATGTTTGAGCACAACTGTATGTGTGTGTGTGTGTGTGTATATATATATATATATATATATATATATTTAATATAAATATATATATTGATCAAATAAAGGTGAAGCGGTAAAATTGAAAAATATAAGACATTAAGATGTGTGTTTATATAAAGTTTTGGTAGTATGTCAGAAAGCCAGAGAGTCTACATTAAATCTGGTCATTTCTGGTGATGAAATGTGTGATCGTTTTTATCTCAAATGTCTTTTGTTCATGAGAGTCTTTAAAATTCCATTTAGGAACTTTAATCTTGAGTTTTGGATGGAGTGATCAGTCTGGGTAAAGTGATGACCAACAGGGGTACAATATTCATTGTCCTTGTGGTTCTTGATTGAGTGTGTATGTAGATTCATTCTGAGATGCAGCTTAAGGCCAGTTTCTCCAATATAGCAAACTTTGTCACACAGTGTACACTGTATCATGTACACCACATTTGCAGATGTGCACATATATGATCCCTTAATGTTTTATGCGTTGTTATTATGTCTGGCTTTGTTATGGCCACATCTACATTGACATAGTCTCCAAAGAGATTTGTTGCATCGTACAGTGCCATTCTGTCCGAGCTCCTGTTCTGTGGACGATTCATTACGCACCAATCTTTGTCACAAGTTATCTTGTTGTTTGAATGAGAGTATGAAGGGGCTCAGGAAATATTTCTGAGAGTGTGGGGTCCTCTGATATGAACCGCTTTGGCGCTTTAATAATTTTACGTTCTCCTTCTAGAGTTGGGCTGTAGGTAACTACCAGAGGGATTCTTGTTTTGTTTTCCTTTTCTTTGTATTGGAGGAGACTTTCATATTGTGTTTTTCGTGCAGATTTTTTTTTTTAAATTTTTAGATATTGTCCTTTCCTTATAGCCCTTTTGCCTAAATGACTCAGACAGTGTTGATCTCTGTCTCTTGTGTCAGAGCAAAGTCGGTGATATCTAATAGCCTGGCTGTAGATAATACCTTGTTTGATGTGATCACACCAAACAAGGCATCAAGATAAAAAACTAGATTGCAATAGCTTTATAAAGGAATAAAGGAGCAGCTCTAGAACATATCTATGATAAAAAAAACACCAATAAAAAAAACCTGCATAGTGAAGAAAACCATTGGTTGCCTAATAATATAGGAATAAAATGTCTCACTTTCCCTTTTAAATATGCATAAGAGTCACTCACTTAAGTCCAGATGTTAAGATACCAGTTTCTATGAGCAAAGTGAAATATTTTATCATTTCATCTGGCAGCACCATACACATTTAAGATATTTTATGTGTTTATAAAAAAAGAGGAAACAAATTGCAAGCTGTTGGAGGCATTTCACAGACATTTTCACTCTGCATGATAAGATTGAAGTTGTGATATAAAACCTTTTTCCCCATTGAAGGCAAAAACAAAAAGGAAGAAATTGTGTGAATAAATATGTGAGTCAATCATCCAAGGACACTTGAATAAAACACCATTGACAAAATTACTCATACACAAAGTTTATTCATTGAACAATTATTTATAGAGATTTCAGAAGAAAGTTGCAAAATATCGATCCTGGCCATGATGCCATTATGCTAGTAATGACACTATGCAATGTTTATTAACAATTGCAAAACTAAAGTGCAATATCTAGACTATGACAAAATACAAGCAGATATATAATAATTAAGTAGATTTGTAAGTTTTGAAGTATCAACACCAAATGTAACAACATGGGAGGATACATAGGAGGATCAGCGGTCCACAGAATTTCTTCTCCCTCTTTTTTAGGGGTATTAGAAATTGAGGGTCCACAAGAAAAAGGTGGGCAGACCATGTTTGCAATAAATAGCAGTTTGCAGTCATAGATGAATGAGGAGTGGGCATCGGGTAGCTTTGACAATCACAAAGATTGTTATCCAAATTTGGTTCCGTTACTGATGGGAAAAAATATATATAATTTTTCAGAGTATTTTAGGGAGAACATGGTTGGTAAAGTTCAGTTAGAGGACAGCATTTCACATTTTTTATTGTGCTTAAAAGAATGTCTGTTCATTAGTGATGTCCCGAACGGTTCGCCGCGGACTCATCATTGAGTAAACTTTGACCCTGTGCCTCACAGTCAGCAGACACATTCCAGCCAATCAGCAGCAGACCCTCCCTCCCAGACCCTCCCACCTCCTGGACAGCTCACTAAGAATGCAGCTTCACAATGGATGCTGTCCAGGAGGTGGGAGGGAGGGTCTGCTGCTGATTGGCTGGAATGCTGACTGTGAGGTACAGGGTCAAAGTTTACTCAATGATGAGTCTGTGGCGAACCGTTCGGGACATCACTATTGTTCATATTCATACTTTACTGGATTGATGAATGGGGAACCAATTCAACACCAAAGATAAAAGGTAAACTGAAATGTATTGAAAAATGCTCCAAGAGAGGTGACAAAACCAATGCAAATATTGCCAAAAAACAAACATGATTCCAGAAAACACAAAAGTGAAATACTAGTCAAGGACTATAGAGGCTGTGATGGTCAATACATGAGCAAATAAAGAAATAGGCCCAAACACTTTAAAACACTATTGATATTTCTCACTTGAGAACTTTCAGAACCACGAAAGGGCATTGAGCCAAATATTAAAATAAATCACTTCTAATAAGTTATACCCCTTATGCATGCATTTAATCATTTTTCCATTGTATGTATATCTAAAAGGCTTGCAAAAGCTACAGATTTCTTGTTTAAAACCATTGCAAATCCTCCCCTTCTAACCCAGCTCAGACTTTTATACCTTTTTGTAGCCGTCAAATCACAGATTTTCTAATGCAGCTCAATGAGAAGTCTTTGCAAGGAAGGTATTCTGAGCGATTGTCTGGCTCTTGAGTTTAGCTCCACTGAGTTTACCAAACCAGGAAGTAACAGGACTGGTTATCTGATTGACACTTGGGAGCCAGGGTAGAACAAAGTTAAAGTGACACTCTGGGCACCAATACTAGTCTAAAGCATTTGTCATAAAGTCACACCCCCTTACACCAGGAAAAAAAATCCTTATAGAAAGGTATGCACATAGCTCAGGCACTGACCAGGACTGAATGATCTGAACTACTAAGCAACCTGCATTACAAGGACACCCAAGGATATCACTACTTATTTGTACTTCCCCTGACTGCAGTCAGGTTGGTAATTAGAAACTGCTCACTCTGTGCTATTGAGGCTGAGACTGAGTGTATACATTTGATAAGGAAGTCTTTCTGGCATGAGGGGTGTGGCTAAGAAGGCAGGCTTATGAATTTTGCAAAACATGTATAATTTTTTTAAAAATTCAGCATATTAAGGAGGCCAAAATCCATCAAATGCATTAAAGATGTACTGCCCGAAGTGTCCCTTTAATACACTAAAGTGGTAATTTCTATTGGTATCTACACTTTTGGGTTAATGTGTAAGAAAAAAAAAGTACTTTTTTTTTTAAAAGGACAATCGTTACCTAAAGCTTTTCCGCAAGCTACAATGCTTGAGTGGTGTTCATGTGCTATATCCAGGAATTACAATAATCTCATACCTATCTCATGTCACTCTTCCTTTAAATCCTCCTTCCATTCTGCCCTCTGGAATGCACGCTCTGTTTGCAGTGTTACTAAATCCACTGCTGGGCACAACCTTTTCATCTCTTGTTCCCAAGACTTACTAGCCTTAACTGAAACATGGCTGTCTCCCTCTGACACCGCAACCCTTGCCTCTTTATCGTTTGATGGTCTTCAATTTTCCCACAACCAAAGACACTTTGAAAGCAAAGGTGGCGTTATAGGGTTCCTGCTCTCACCTCACTGCTCCTTCAAACCTCTACCCATCCATATTTAAAAAGAAGTATTGTACATAATGTTTACTTGTTTTTATTCCTCCTGTACTATTGTATCTTTAAATGGATCAATAGGTTTTTCATGGTTCTATATACTTTATCCCATTAATTTTTCTCGTATGGTACAATAGGAAGTAGAATCTACAGTTTTTAATGTATTTAAATATTTGATTTTATTGTAATATTGTTTTTAATTGATATAATATGAAAATATGTATGTAGCACTTTGTAGCAGAGAATTCTCTGCAACACTAAAGTCTAATCGACATAAGCGAATAGATCCCCCCCACATCATCATGACGAATGCGGAAGTATAAGGAGGTGACGCAAGGATGCCTGGCTGTCGGCTGCGTCTAACCTGAAGGGGAGGAGTTTATTGCCGATCGGGAAAAGGGCGCGAAAAGGCCCCTATTTAAACTAAGAACGGACTGGATAGACTTACACTTTGATAAAAGCTTTGGCTGAAACGCGTCAGTGTGCGGACAGAGTAATTGCCGATTCCTACTTTTGCGGCTGTTTTTACTTTGGAAAATAAAACCTTTTTAAATGAAGACCCTGCATCCTGGGTTTCTTTAAAGAAAGGACGAGTAAGCAGTCAGCATTTCAGTTACCACAGCACCATTTGTCCAACGTTCTTAGTCTGAGCCAGCTTATTTGTTAAGTGGCTCAGAAATATGAGTTTGTACATTTATTATATAATACAATAATTATCTGTATGTTATTACCCTGTTTTTTTCTCCTGATTTTATCTTTTACATGATTTTAATTGAACATAGGGGTAACATAATTTTGGTATTCTTTTTTATTTTATTCTGTGTGCTCTCACCATTTCTATCATTTTATTCACTTATTTATGTGTGGTGGAGTGACCCACATAGGTGATTGTAGCACTCTACTGTTTATTGTGTTTTAACCTTATACACACACTATTTTTTATTCCCATAAACCTGCCCTTGTCCTCAGTAGCCTCAAAACTACTTTCAATTACCTCCTTCCTTGGGCTAGCGCAGTGGGCTAAGTCCCCCACCCATGTTGCTGGCAATACCCTTGATCTTATTTTCTCTCATGAATGTACAATCTCTAATCTCTGCAACACTCAATTTGCTCTTTCAGATCACCACCTCTTATCATTTGCTCTCAATAGCCCCTTACCCCATCATCCTCAACCTAACCCCCCTCAACTAAGAAGAAATCTGAATTATATTGACCTCCAGCAGTTATCAGCTAATATTGATTCCTAACTTCTATCCATCCCTACTTTCTCCTGTCCCTCACTGGCTATCTCCTCATATAACACTACCCTCACATCTGCCCTGGACGCTGCAGCCCCGCTCCAAACATGCACTTTGAGGAGAACACGCTCCCAACCGTGGGACACTAAATCAACACGCTACCTGCAAAGATGGTTCTGTTCTACTGAACACTGTTGGAGGAAGTCACGCACCCAGTCGGTCTTCCTACAATACAAATTCATGTTGCGTTCATACAGCACAGACCTTGCCCTTGCCAAACAGTCATACTTTTCCTCCATCATCAACTCATGCTCCCACAACCACTGGCATCTTTTTAATACCTTTAACTCCCTTCATTGCCCTGCTGTTGCCATCCCTCAAACAAACCTTACAGCCAATAGCTTTGCATGCTACTTTACCGACAAGATTGAACAGCTAAGGAAAGAATTCTTACCACCTTGCCTCTCTATTTCTCAACCACACCTGGATCATGCCTTTCCTACCCTTCACACGTTCTCCCAGGCTACTGAACAAGAGGTGGCTGCGCTTCTCCTTTCCTCTCGCCCTACCACTTGCCCGCTTGATCCTGTCCCATCCGATCTCTCTCCTCTTCTCTTGTGCCTTCCTTAGCACAGATCTTCAACTGCTCTCTCTCTTCTGGTGTTGTCCCTGCTGCCCTTAACCCCTTAAGGACCAAACTTCTGGAATAAAAGGGAATCATGACATGTCACACATGTCATGTGTCCTTAAGGGGTTAAACATGCTACTGTAGTACCCATCTTTAAAAAAAAAAAATAAAAAAAATAAAAATAAAAAAATCTCGACCCGTTCTCCCCTTCTAACCATCATACCATATCCCTGCTCCCTTTTTCCTCAAAGCTTATGGAAATACTGGTCATTACTCGTCTGACTTTCCTCAATTCCAACTCTCTCCTTGACCCTCTTCAATCTGGCTTACACTCCCTCCACTCTGCTGAGACTGCTCTTATTAAAGTCACTAACGATCTAATCGCAGCTAAATCCAAAGGGCACAACTCCATACTAATTCTTCTGGACCTCCCTGTTGCCTTTGACACTGCTGACCATCCTTTGTCCTGTCTCGGTTGGAGTCCCCAAGGCTCTGTACTTGGCCCCCTTCTATTTTCTTTTTATACTGCCTCTCTTGGCAAACATATTACCTCATTTGGATTCCAATACCACCTACACGCTGATGACACTCATATCTCTCCTCCCCGGACCTCTCCCTTGCCGTCCTTCAATGTGTCACTGCTTGCCTTTCTTCCATCTCTGACTGGATGTCCTCCCGCTTTTTGAAACTCCATCTCTCTAAAACTAAACTCCTTGTCTTTCCTCCTCCTAATACTGATCCCCCTCCTTAACTCTCTCTTCAAGTTAGTGGTATCCACATCAGTGCATCCTTGCAAGTGCGCTGTCTTGGCATTATACTTGATCCTGGCCTCAAATGTGAGCCTCACATCCAGTCTGTTACTAGACATGTGCAATTTGTTTCAGTTCGAATGTGAATTTGGACGAATTTCGGGCAATTCGGATGCTTCCAAATGTCCGAAGTGCTGAATTGCAAAGTCCCGAATTTCGAAAGTGCCGAACTGAAGTGCCAATTTTTTTTTCTTACCCAAATTTCCGAACCAAACCGAATTTTTGGATCATGCACATCCCTATCGGTTACCAAATCCTGTAGATTTCACCTTAAAAACATAGCCCGCATCCGCCCCTTTCTTACGCAAGATGCTACTAAGGAGCTTTTCCATGCTCTAGTAATCTCTTGCATGGATTTTTGTAACTCTCTCCTAGTAGGTCATCCCACAAGTCGTATTGCTGCGCTACAGTCTAATGAATGCTGCAGCTAGACTGAATTTCCTCTCCTGTCGCTCCTCTCACACCTCTCCCCTCTGTCAGTCCTTACATTGGCTTTATTTTAAGGTACTAATCTACACCTATAAAGCACTGACCAATGCCAGCCCCTCCCATATCTATTCACTGATCCGCAGGTATGCCCTTCTCGGTCTCTCCGCTCTGCCCGTGACCACCTCCTGTCCGCTGCTCGAACCCGTACGGCTAACTCACGCTCACAGGACTTTTTGCGTGTGGCTCCTTTCCTTTGGAATAGCTTGCCTACGACCATCAAGCTCTCCCCTAGTCTTCAATCATTTAAAAAGTGCCTCAAAACCCATCTCTTTAGGAAAGCTCCCAGATTAACCTCTACCTCATGTACCTGTCTCTTGCTCTCTCCTATTCTCTCTTCCAGCTCTGCTTCACTCCACCTTGTTTGACTGCTACCTCCTGTCATGTGTTTTATGCCCCACCTCCTATAGACTGTAAGCTCATTTGAGCAGGGCCCTCTTCAACCTATTGTCTCTAAGTTTTTGTAATTGTCTAATTTTTTGTGAAATCTACCCCTTTGATAATATTGTAAAGTGCTATGGAATATGCTGGCACTATATAAATACCAGTAATAATTATAATAAATAATCCTGGGTATTGCAATCATTTTGGCTTTGACTCCGCTAAAAAAAACAAAAAACATGTGTTCATGTCCACAGAAGGCTCCTTGTTTTCTAAGCATATGAAACAATACAGGCCAATTTGACTATACAGTTGAAGGCAGAACATGAGTGGGCAGTGTGGGACAGGATCTGAGCAACAGGCCAAGTTCCCGTTGCATTCCAGACATCTACAACTCTTTGAGACTGACTATGTAGCTACACATGTGTTCTCACGCAGTTCCTGTAAGTTTTGTTGCATGCTGTTGACCTTTCAAAAGCGCGTCACTGTAATATACCATTGGTCCAATAAAAAGAGATTACTAGATACTAAAAAAATTCATCACTTGTGCGGACAATTTCTAAAACAGATTGTATTGAACTATACCAATGTTTTATTTGGTTCTATACACAATGTAAGGTGGGACTGTAATAAGTATTCCTTCCAGGAATGTGTTATAAGAAGGAATCATGCTAGCTAGTTTTGTTTATTGTAAAACATCCGTAGTTTGACAGTTTACACAATGAATACCTATGAATAACAAAAAGCCAGAGTGCACAGATCAAATCAAATGTAACATTTTAACAGTATATATATTTAAATAACCTGCTCAGTGGTGAGATATGTTACCCAATTCACTAGTTTGAGCTATAGCATAACAGACACTAACCATGAACTCATAAAGATACTAAACTATCCAGATGTTTTGTTCCGCACTTGAGAAAGATTTCTTTAAACTGCTAATTTAATATAATTATCCTCATTGCGGATGGCTCTGTAGGAGAGCTGCAGTAATTTAAATGGAAACATATACACCGCTTAAAGCCAACACATTTAATTTAAAGTCTACATAAGTCTACTATATTTAAGCAAAGGCATCTTATATTTCAGAGCAGGGGCACTTTGCTACAAATGTAATAATCACTACTTTAATAAATTTAATTAAAGTAACACTATAGTGTTAAGAATACAACATGTATTTCTAACACTACAGCTGTAATCTATCTATAGTAGTGTCCCCCCGCCATGTTGGCGCTTGAAGGGTGAGATTTACTTCCCTTTCAGCCCTTACCACACGGGCCTCCATCCTGCTGGCACTGTTCCTTGGCTGAGATTATCAAGATTGATAATCTCAGCCAACCTAATGCTTTTGCCTATGAAACCATTCAGGGCTAGTGCAAAACGCAGTGCTACACGAATCATATTGTAACGTTATTCATCCATAGAATAATCAGAATTTTGTATGTATGGTTATTTCTTCTTTTCAAACCTTTATTGCTGGTTTATTACATTTAACAGATATTATACAGCTTTAATATTTCACACTTCCTTCTCTTTCTTACAAGAACTTATTATTGTTATGAGACAATAGTAAATGGCATTAAATTCACAGTACTTAAATTAATTACTGAATATGTTCAGTATCGCTTAAAGTAACAGCAATACTTTAAAATACAGCACACACCACATTGAGAGGAGTGCAAATATATTTGTAAATGCTGGGGTATTTTGCTTTTTACTAATGTGATCTAGAAAAAGAAAATAATGAGATTTATAGATAAACATTAAAGGGACACTATTTTCACCAAAACAACTTTTGCTTTATAAAGCAGTTTTGGTGTATATATCATACCTCTGCAGTCTCACTGCTCAATTATCTGTCTTCCTAGGCCCTGCAGGAGCCTCCTATGTGTGATTAAAGTTCAAATTACACTGCAGTAGATAATAAGGTCTAAAGCAAGTTAACATCTGATTGAAAATTAAACGATTGTTTTCATGCAGGCTGTGTCAGGCACAGACAGGCTGTGCAGGCAACACAGCGAGTTTATAATAGGAACTGGGAAACAGTCATGTAGCCATTAAGTGGTTAATGCAGCCAATTTTATTATCATTATCTGCCACAAATAAATAAATGAAAAGAAAAAAAAATCTTTTTTCTCTAGATAGAAAATTCTCCTGCACAGCCAAACCTGACTGTGACAATTAGTACTATGGATATTATCCATTGTTGTTAGCAATATAAATCAATTGAAATACGTATTGATCCTGAAGAAAGTCCCACATAGAGGACTGAAACGTTGACTACTTTTAAATGAATTAATAAAAATTGGAACTTTTACTTCGTGAGTGCTGCCACCTTTTTGGAGTTTTATATATATATATGTAATAAAATTTGCGGTAAGTCTAAGTATTGCCATGGTAATCCTTTGCAAAGGTCCGCATTACTCAGACGTGCCAGAAATTCACAGATTCCCTTGTGCAAGCAGAGGGGTGCTCAAGGCTAGTAGGGATATTATCTGATCTAACCTTATCACATGCCACAGATTACCAACCCCTATATAAGGGTATATGCACTGAGACTTACATGTCCTGAAGCTGCCTAAGTTTTAAGAATCTTCAATAGATGGCATGTTTGTAAAACAATGAGAAAAATGGCTATTATTTACTTTAACGTTATAATCCAACTGGTGCATAGATAAAAAATGTAAAGTTCAAGTTCACTGAAGCATTGCGCAGACACATTAGTGTATTGAAACTTTGCCAAGTCTGTTCAGTTAGAACTTTGAAAAAACTATGTTCACACTCGCCCTGAGGGATTGGGTCGCTTTTGTTATAGATCACTTGTCAGAATGGTGACAGTAGAAATGAATTAGATTAATTATTGTTATAAAAGTTTGAAAAGGTATAACATCCGTGACCAGAACCATGTTTCCAATCCCATTCTTCTATCACATTGATAAATGAAAGCATAAGATCTTTCTTTAAACCTTCGAGTGCCTTTATAGTTCAATTGAATGCTCAGAATGCCTTCTGCCTAAACTGCTTACATATCATAAGATTGCCGTTTACAAACAACATTTTTTTCCCCCAAGCAAAAAAACCCCCCAGAAGCTGAACAAGTGATAACAGATTTACTCCTTTTGCTTCCTGTCTAGGTATTGGGTCTACGGAATTTGATAATGTTTTCGCTGAACCATATACTGCAGTCTTTGTTTTATCATCATTAAGGACCTATCTGCAGTTTCCAAATTTCTCTAACAGTGTTTTAGAAATCGTGTGCATTCACATAACGTTAGCTGCGCAAAGTCACGATGTGGATATTTACATAGTCAGAATAATTGGGCATGAACCAGTAAGCAACATTAGAACACACCTGGTGGAATTAGAATGTAATGTTGCTGGACCAATATTTCTTTTTTAGGGACTTTCAAAAGAGTCCATAACTTTATGACTAGTCTCTGGAGGAGAAGAAACCAAAAGTGGAATCTAGCCACATGAGTTACAAACATGAGGATTGCGAAACGACAACCACAGACATTTATGGTCTGAAACGCTAAGCCGTGAGAAAATGTATAAAAGATTACCCAAGAGGTTATGAACAGTTGGTTTGAATTACCAAAACATTAAACCTCCTCGAAGAGCAATGTCATTATCAAAAACCATAAACGTCTTTTAAAAATCTGGTAATGAATTCCTTAAGGAATTGAAATCTAACAAAGATGCATTTCTGCTCTCGTGATCATGCTAAGAAATGTCTCAGAAATTTATGTGATTTTAAAATATAAATAAAATAGCATATACAATTGTACGTGCATCGGTGTACCTGTAAAATATGTATGATCGATTACACTGTCAAAAAATAAATTTATTCCGTTCTGTCTGCTTGCTGTACACAGTTCCAGAAATTTGCTTGTGTCATCTTTAACAGTGTGTACTCTTGTGCTGGACTCTGTAGATAAAGTACTGCATTACAGTGAAAGCGAATAATAAATCAAGTCCACTGACAGCTCAGTAACGGAGATTGTGGTTACCTGTGGTAATAGTCAGCTTACATGCCAACTGATACATTGTACATTGCAACCCTTGCTTCTGATGCATACATTATGTGTATAAATTATGGATGAAGATCACTATAAAATTAAAATGATTTATATGTACATAGTTTTACCTATCTATTCATAGTTAAAGAAACTTATTATATATATATATTTTTCATTATTTTGATTGCCACTAGAGGTGCTTCCGTGGCCAGTGCCGCACCGCGCCGGAATAAAGATGCATTTTTTTTTTACTGATTTAAGGGGGGAAAGGGAGGGGCAGAACCTTTATAGTGCTTTTAACACTATTGGATCAGAAATACACATTTGCCTTTCTGACCCAATAGTGTTCCTTTAAGCTACTTTTAATGTAATATGCAGAAAAGCTCACACTAGCAGTTGCAATATTGCCTCTTCAGCTTCTGACAGGTCAAAACATTGCAGGGTAATTTCTTTGGTGACCCATAAACACCAATAAAAATTCAAGAGGTATAGATGGGAAATATCTCAAAATAAAGCCATTTTTGTCACAGAGACACAAACTGTCACCGTACAGGTCCCCCAACTGTCCCCATTTTGGAAGGACAGTCCCTATTTCAGGATCAGGACCGTTCTCCAGGTCCTAATTTAGTTACCTGGTGACCTGCATTTGGGAACACTAGGGAGCCATCCTTGGGCATCACAGCACGAGTGCATCATTAGATTCGCTTGCACGGTGCATGGCACTACGACCCTACAGAGGGGACTCAGCAAGATACTGCAGGCTGGCAAGACATGATGTGAGTCATGCCACTGGCTACGCTCTCTCCCAGACAAGCCCAATTTTGGGAGGTATGCTTTATGTCACAAGCATGATGCCTTGTGGCATTTGTAAAATTGATTGGAGACATATGTTATTTGTAAAGATACGTTTCTACTACAACATTAATGTAAAGCAGGTTATCATTCTACAACTCCAAGAATACGTAAAATTATATTTTATATAACATTACCAACTCTGGTAAACAAAATCCCCAAAATAATTACATTTGTGACCCAGGGCTAAAGAACCATATTATCTAATTCTTCTAGACTGTACACTGAAGACTCGGCTCAGACTTGAGGGTTTTCAGATAGTGCTCAGTAATATTTACTAGTAATAGGCAGACAGGATACATCTTGGGACATTTACCATAAAAATACTTAATCTTATTTAATATTTTATCGTGTGCATTAAACTTACAATGTGCAGCGGTGGATTTTGAATTCGTATTTTCTAAAATAATAGAATAAAAATAACGCAGAACTTTATTAGGATTATAAATTATTCACATATTTAGTTCAGAAGGAACATACATTTTGTTTTCTTTTTAACTGGAAACTGTCCTGTGCAATTAACTGATCACGTGTTGTATCATATATCAATGTTAGTTTTTCAAAAGATGTCAGGATTCTTACTCCACGTCTAGCTTTGGTGTCACCTCACAAAAAAAAAAACAGGGTCATTGAGAAGCATTGGACAAAGAAATATCATGATTTCCTTTCTTTCACACTTACATTCTAGTGGGGATGGTGCATGCAGCTTTTTTTTTGTATAATAATATAAAGTGAGTTTGCGTATGTATGGGGGGGCTGGGGGAATAAAAGATAGAGTTGGAATCTAATCACACACATCATTTCTATGTCCGTATCAAGGCAATGGGGTTTAGCAACAATGGTGCCAGAACCTTTACAAAAAAGGTAAAATCTAATATCTTGCAATCGAAAAAGGCCTATGTGTATTTAAACGTTCTAGGGCAGCATGAATCAATATATGGTTCAAATGATCAAATATTAATTTGTAATGAGAGTTCCCCCAAACGGATGTCAAGAAAGTTTTTTTACCTGCCAATATTTAAAACAACTTGATCAGGACATCTTCACAGGTAAGAAGGAAAGGGGATTACACATTTTTATATATCTGCATTATGTTTTGCGTTATTCGAACTGGGCTCCATCAAGTCTACCCAATAATAATCTAATCTAACCTATAACAGTCACAATTTGTCCAAGATAGTTCAGACCAGTTCCAGCTATTGGGGTTTTAGTGTCTAACTATGAAATTAGATAATCATTTGATTTTTTTTTAGTTCAACTATATAAAAAGCATATCTTTAAAGCATTTCTTTAAAGATTACAATTTTTTTTTTACAATTGTTGGTTCACATTCAATGAATCACATGGAGGAAGTGATGGGCTAAACTTGATAGATCAATCATAAGAACATTATCGGATTTGTATTCCATCAACCTGCTCAAACTGAATATCCCTTAACCCCTTAAGGACCAAACGTCTGGAATAAAAGGGAATCATGACATGTCACACATGTCATGTGTCCTTAAGGGGTTAAAGACACTACATGGAAACAACAGAACATGGACAAAGAACGAGATAACGAAGAAACAAGAGGCTTATTTGATACATTTTCCGTGACACACAACCTTATAAAAAGATAAATGTTTAGAGTTCCTATTGGCTATAGACACACATATTTAGGAATGCTTTTAATAATTATTGTAAGTCTACAAAGTGTCAACATATTTAGAAACTTACATATAGTGATACCAAACCAACATCTACCCTCTGGCTACCCAAAGTCTGAAACACGGAAGGTGTAGCTACTCAACTGTAGAGCTACTAGAAAAATGTGCTATAACTAGAAGTTTAAATAAGCTTAAAGTTGTGATTGCTAACTACTAGGACAACTATAAATTCTCTTTGAAGGACATGTGGCACCAACAATCATGTCATGGTCAATGTCACTTAAAATTGTGATGCTTTTCCCACAAACATTTTAACACATTACCTTGATTGTTTATTCTTTTCAGCTGACTTTGTAAGGAGACCTGGATAGCAAAATAATAATTAAATGTCTAGGTCAGCAACTTTATTGCCCATCAAAACTCCCAGTATAGGTGCACCACTTCCTTGCTTCTAAAGTAAGGTTGGCTTCTAATTATCTGTCGCTCTTGGGAAGCCTGTCCATTTTTAATCTACTATTGTATGTCAACATTTTAATTTATCTATTTTTTTTTAATTTAAGAAAAAAA